TAGTGAAATGAGTCACCTCCAATATTGCATGAACTACGATTAGTTATTTCCATCATCTTGTGTTCTCCCAATGTCAGTATATCAATTTTGATCACCAATATCATTGAAATTATTTGGAACGTTGCATAGCAACAAACTTATTCTGCCTAGACAGAGAAACTACACCTTTGCTGCCTGTTATGTGTCATAGAAACACCAGTTTTTATGCCATTTCGAGATGAAAACTATTAAGCCATTGAACATCAGAGGCGGCAATGGCGGCATCAAAACTTTAGGTAGTTGGTTGATCTGTGGCATATAGGTGCTTGATGAAAAAGTAAAAGATCTCGCAGCAAGATATAGGGCATTTCTCGATGAATTCTCAAGTATATCATGCCCAAATTTCATTTTCAAATGTTGTAAAAAAAATGATAATCTTTGGTAGATGATGTCCATGGTTTTTGAAAGTGGAGTCAGTCATCTCCTCGAAATTTAATGTGATTAACACATCAAAAATTTGTACATATTTCGGACATATATATGTCCATCATCAGCCTTAAATCAGAAATTACATGATTTTCATGGAGATAAGAAGGTTATGTCACCAACTTTTATATTATAAAGAGATATAGTGAAGGGTTTTAAATGTGAAAATTAATTATGGGGAAACCCAACAAACCCCCCGGAAAACTTCTTTAGATGGATCCGTTTTTGTAATTTTCAATGTCGCATCCATCCCTTTTGGATGCCATTTGTTGGTTCCCACCACAAATTCGAATAAAAAAAGTTTTCCGGGGGTTTGTTGTGATTCCCCATTATTAATTTTCACATTTAAAACTTCCCACTATATTTTTTGATAATGTAAAAGTTGGTAACATAACCTTTTTATCCCCATGACAATTATGTGATTTCTGATTTAAGGCTGATGATGGACATATATATGTCCGAAACATGTAGCAATTTTTGATGTGTTAATCACATTAAATGTCGTGGAGATGACTTTGTTAGTATTTAAAAAAATAATAGGTGCAGTTTGTAAAATTTTAGTTTTCGGCAATTTTTCAATACATTTGAAAATTGCTTGCGCTCATATGGTACAGAATGGGACCATCGATGCCATCGATGGGACATCAGGAGTGAGCCTGGACTATCAGTCAAGTTTTTTTTCAATATCCAAACTGATTTTGCTATTTCCACTTGTATATTGTATGTTGCTGGAACCTCTAAAGTTGTTCGTCGGCGCTTGTTGAAGCTCAAAGCCGATAATTTGGCATTGGCAACAACGTGTTAGGATAGAAATGCTTCCGATTCTATGCCGCTTCGGTATGCAAGTCAGGTAATCTTATTGGTGGCCTCGCCGCTACGGAAGTGACGTTTCCACATGCTCTCATCTTAAAACGCCATTAAGGTAACGTGTCGAACCCAAGGGCGTCGGTAAGGGGACATTATTCCCCACAATCCCCCCTCCCTCCTCAGAACCATGAGCATTGCCATAACAATCTATGCCACAACCATTGTTGATCTAAATGGAATCCTAGTAGGCGAACAAGTACGCGGTGGCGAGGTGGTATAGTTTATCCAAAAAAGGGACAGAAATGCAAATAGCATTCTGTCCTGAGGTGTACATACTATTTTTTACGCTGGCGAAAACACAAAAATTATGAAAGTATAAAAATATGGTCAAAGTGTTTTGTCATAATTAGTAGTAGTATAGTTGTGGAATGTGTGGAATTCGTATCTTGACAACATGCATCTCGTTGACTACCCTTGTTGACAGCAAATATCAAACTGAAATTTATGAAAACAGCTTTGAAAATGGGTAATGGTTATGGAAAAAGAAACGGAGGGAAAACCCCAAGAAACTATTGATACTGCTTCTGCAGTGATTCTTAACTTGCCACCAGTGAGATCTAGAAATCTGTATGATGCAACTTATACTCACTAGGGAGAAAATATGTCACATTATCTCCCTAGGGAATAATACGAGACTTCTGCCCCTCTCTTTTGTTACCAGAGAAACTAACTTCTACTCCCGCCGGCGTAAAAAGAAATATAGTGCGGAAATTATGCTAGAATATTCCAATGTATGACAATCTATACTAATATTATAAAGAGAAAAGATTTGTTTGTCTGTCTGTTTGTTTGTATAGAATAGGCTCCGAAACTACTGGACCGATTTGAAAAATTCATGTACCATTAGAAGCCGATATTATCCCTGAAGGACATAGGCTACTTTTTACCGCAGGAAAATACTTCATTCCTATGGGAACACGAGTAATAGGATAACGGGTATAGTAAGAATTATCCTTCCATACTTATCTTTTTCACATAACTTCTAAACGGCTGAACCGATTTGGTTGAAATTTCATATGGGTATAGGGTATAGGTGGCGCTGCTGTGGGTACGTCAACTACTAAATGGCTCAACCGATTGGGTTGCAAGTTTCAATACGTAAAACAACGAAAGAGTACAAAAAATTCTAAAAGAATGGAAATAGGTGTGAGTAAGAGTATAATAGTAGTTATAGGAAAGCACAAAAAAATTATAAATGCGCATAGCTCAGAGCGTCTGCAACAAATGTCTTATTTTATCGGTACACCAACCGTGATGTGAAGCCAGGCAGTACAGCTGGTAATATAATGAATATGTGAAAAATACAAGACGTTCCATTAAAAAAAAATCATCAATCTTGTAGCCCCGCGATCAAAAAACATCCTGTAGAGATCAAACTAATGTTGCTTTCTAGAAATAAAGATATTGTACTATAGACATCCCCAAAGCAGTTATCAAATACGGTCTACAAAAAAAAAGACTTGAAACAAAGCTTCACAATTGAAATCATAAAGAATCTGAATCGAAGAAAATTTGTTTTTACTCTGATTTTACAGAATTGGTCGTATGTTCGAGATGAAAATAAGGACTAAACTTGAAAAATGAAAATTCGAAGCGAGAACTTTTCATTTTCTTTCATAATTCTAATGAAATGAAAATTGGAATCCACATAACCTTTTATTACCACATTACATAGTGCCTTTCAACTTCAAAGCATTTGATCTTGCCCAACCATTTTTTCCTGCGGCACATTTTTTGCTATTTCAGAATCACGAAGTTCATTGTCCCTGATACAGTCCACTTGGCATTTTTGTGGCGAAGCCAATTTTTTTTTTGCTTTGGGGCGCACAAAAATAATCCCACAATAGTTCATAAAATGAACGAAAATGGTAGATAACCAGAGGAAAACAACTACTTTCCTGGCTATATGCCACGCAGAACAGTGAATTACATCCTCCCGAATTCTATGTAACAATTCGTATGGACTAATACAAATGCAAGTGTTTCTTTCCTAAATGTAAAGTTGTTCAGGAACGCTTGACTACCTACCAACCGGTTTCGAGCTTTGGCTCTCATCAGTGCAGGGGTGTCCCCAGATGACATTCATTACTGCCATCTGAGGCGAATTTGACCCAACGTAAATACCTCTAAGCATTTAATATCCACAAGGCATTTGACCACTGCGGAACGGACACAATGGACACAACGCCGTCTATGGCAAAAGGAAAGAAACACTCCATGCAAGACAGTAATAAAAATTTTGGATGCAATGGAATTGGCTGATTGCCCGATTGGCGTTTTTTCAATTAGGAAAAATTCAAAATACTCAAAGTTGAATGAACTGGTAACAAATGGGGAGAAACTCAAATTCATTACCATAATAGTTCAGTAGTTGTTTTTCTCTCGTTATCTACCATTTATTGTGGTAATGATTTTGATTTTCTTCGTCTTTGTTATCATTTCATTCCACTTTGAGTATTTTGGCTTTTTCATAGTTCTCCTATTATTTTAGTCAAAACATGGTGCCAAGACTGGCAAATATAAATAAGTATAGGTAATGTCCTTGTCAAAGATCGAATGGTTCCATGTATGAATTGATTTCATGTTATTTTCATTATATTGGTATTTAGCTTATACCTATAATAATAATTGTTGATTACCCTCCCGCAGAAAAATGTTATCTACGGCCTTGGTTGAGGCTTCTTCGTATTCCACAAGTGTTCATTGGTTCATATATTTTGTTATTCGATACAATCACAACAATATAGTAGAAGAACTTTTCGCGAAACGTACTAGGCACCTACCTGTTGTATGGTTATGGGTACAGTCGTCTTCAGAAAACATGTAGCGCACATGGACAATGATAGTACTCTGAATATCTTCTGCAATAAGAGCGCGATCAACTCTCCAATTTCGACATGTTTTCTGAAGAAGAAGAGCTTTGTGTCGATTTGAATCAATTTTTTGAAAAGTTATGACCTTTGTACCATGTAATCTGAGTATCTATACTCAGCTGGTGAAATCTGGGCACATCACCAACGAAGAAAACGTAGCTAGGTTTCCACAAAATTTTGTAAAACCATTGAGGATTGCAGATTCATAGAAAGCACGAATGTTACGAAAACGTCACTACATCGTTAGATAAATATAACAGAAGAATTATTGCTTTCCATAATTGTTTTCAAATTCTTATCGTGTGTGTTCAATAGATGTAATTCAATGTTCGTCGTGGCATATAGTCAGGAAAGTAGTTGTTTTCTGTTGAATAAACCGAGGAAGAATTCATATTTTCATCACATGGAGAATGCGAATTTCTTTATATATGTACAGTGTGTGACCCATTTAAGATGGAAGCACCCTTATAAAACTTACATTTTTCAACCGATTGGTGGATAATAGGTCTATGGATTGGAATGATTTTTTTTTGTTAGGTAGATATTCAAAAAGTCTATTAGGACACCAAATATCATGAATAAATCTCCATTTCCAGGGCCAACTAATCTGATTTTTCAAGGTCAAAAATCTAAAAAAATTACTAGCGATTTTTTTAGAAAAAATCTGACTACACCACTGGATTTGTGACATTTTCAAATGGGTAGGTTAGGTTAGGTTAGGTTCCATGTGAGTGGGGCGAACACCTCCCCTCCACTGCGACCCCAGATGGGTCTATTGTGGCTCACCCCTAGAGGTTACAGTTCACCGTACAATCCACATCTTTTTACAAAGTTCATGGTTGAATTGGGTGAGATTTGTCTGAAATCGATAGGTTCTAGGTTGGTGAAGCCAAATGTGTCGAACCTTAGTCTTTCTAAGCTAGAGCATGAACATAATATGTGTTCAGCCGTTTCGTCTTCCACACAACAGAACCGACAGTCCGTTTGTTGGTTCAGACCCATCCTTCCCAGGTGGTATCTTAGACGACAGTGTCCCGTAAGCAGTCCAGTCAGAATTCGCAGGTTACCCCTGCTCCATTCTAGGATCTGCCTGGTTATTTTTTCCCATGGTTTAGGCAGGAACGCCTTCGAATGGGTTAATCCTGGTAATTCGGACCAGTACGTGAGTGTTTTTCCCTCCGCCCAGCCCGAGATAGTTGTTTTCGCCGCACTTGCGGTGACCCCAAAATATGGTTCTGGTCCTATGAACACAGATTCGGTTCCCTGTTTGGCGAGGATGTCGGATTTCTCGTTACCCTCCACCCCCTGGTGTCCAGGCACCCACAGCAAAGTGACTCTGTTGTTAGCACCCAGGCTTTCTAGGGATTCAATGCAGCTCCATACAAGCTTGGAATTTATCTTGCTGGAGCTCAGTGCTTTTCAAATGGGTAACATGTAAATTACGTTGAAATGCGTCAATCAATAAAAAAGTTATAAAGGAATGAAATTTGAAAAATATGCCGTTTAATCAACCCACCAATTCATGTTCAGGAATTTTATGAAAATTCTGTATACTCCACTGGATTCTGGATGTCTTGAAATATTACTGATCACAGTTTCATCGAAATCTGTTCAGTAATAAAAATTGATGGGTTGATTAAACGGCATATTTTTCAAATTTCATTCCTTTATAACTTTTTTATTGATTGACGCATTTCAACGTAATTTACATGTTACCCATTTGAAAATGTCACAAATCCAGTGGTGTAGTCAGATTTTTTCTAAAAAAATCGCTAGTAATTTTTTTAGATTTTTGACCTTGAAAAATCAGATTAGTTGGCCCTGGAAATGGAGATTTATTCATGATATTTGGTGTCCTAATAGACTTTCTGAATATCTACCTAACAAAGAAAAAAATCATTCCAATCGGTTGAAAAATGTAAGTTTTATAAGGGTGCTTCCATCTTAAATGGGTCACACTGTATAAATATTCATTTTTTGTGTCCATAAATATATCTGAGAATATTCATTTTCAATACTTCCATAATTGAGTTGAAATTTCATCAAAATGTCATAATCAAAGAAAAATACTATGTGATATTGACAGCAAGTATGACTACACATATCTTTACATAAGTACGTACTGATTTTTGTAAATCAAATGTACAAATTCCTAGGTTAGTTTTTCTCTAGCTGTTCAGTAATAAGGGGAGACTGTACACCCCGTATATTTGAAGATACCTATAGAAAATATAGGTTACGCATTGTACTCTTTCCAATGGCGAAAGCCTGGTAACCCTAATGAAACTTCATCATCCTGATGAAAATGATTGGAAAGTCTAATCAGGAAACCTCATAACGACGAAATTTGTAAATACATTCTTCTATCGTGTATTTTTCCTTAAATAATCTTCGAACTATTGTGTGTGCCCCTCTTAATATTCTATCGGTTTCTGGAATACTAATTCTACTGGTTTGGAATTTTTTTGTCATGCATGCGATAGGAATTAAGAATATAAACCCTCTTTGAGTGGTCGTCAAAAACGAGAATCCAAATTTCATAGGTAGGAAGGAGTGGGAAATATAATGGGTATTTTAATGGAAGACTGATGGTTTGATAAAAAATTCCTTCATTTCATTGCATATCGAACACGTGATGATGATAACGGTTAATGACACTGTCAATGTGAAGAGTCTGTCAACTGTCAATTTATTGGGTATTGCGTCACTAGAACCTGTTATTTGTGTCATCATCAAATTATAAAACCTTCTTTACTTATTGCTATATAGACAATCGGATTATTTTTCAATGAAGAACAATGTCTTACAAAATTCCATTATCATCCGATCATAATTACCTTCTCATAAATTTCTTTGCGAAAACTCGGAAAGTACAGATTTCGAACACTCCTTGATATCGAGAAAAATTCGATGCAGAACTACATCCTCCTTCATCTAGTGGAAGAACATATACATTTGCATTATAGGTTTGGGAAAAGTAGTTAGTAGGCGGAAGTGCCGCCATCTTTAAAATATTTCATCGAACAGGACCCAATCATTTTTAGAACTCCAACGCCTAATGCGCGGATGAGATGGAACAGCCTGTATATTATACCTGTACAACCAATGTCAAATAGTAAGATACATTCGCAACCTTTACGTGTTCCAAAACATTAAGTAAAGAGGTACCTACTTTATGTTTATGTAAAGAATTCCGTCCATTTCAAGTTGTGCTGGAACTACTACTAATATAGATTCACGATTCTCTTGCATTCAAGAATACTAATTTCAATCCATACATGATATGAATGAACAATAGCTATTCGATCTCACAAGGGTAATGATTGAAACTAAATTTACAAAAAATACATAAAACTATTCACTCCAGGGAGAATTTTATTGTGTGTTCACTATTTTTCTGTGGCACAGATGCCTTCAAAATAAGGTTTCACACATAGGTACACTGCCGCCCAAATAAATCGTAACGACTCCTGTGAAATATCAGCTTATGCACATAGCTCTGTTTTCTTAAATAATTAACTAAGGCTTTATAGGAACTCTTCAATGTATATTTATAAATGTATTTTGGGAAATCTCATATTTTGTATTGTTTATTGTTCATTTTATTTCATCTATATTTGTATGTACCTATATACAAGCTTTTTCAACAACAAGAACAAATTTACTTATGGCAATAAATCATCATATTGAATTGGAAATGTTTCGAATTCTGGGGAGTTCGAATTAGCGGTATACAAATTGCAAATTACAATTGTCACACCCCGCCAAGCCGCCATAATGAAAGAGTTGAATGAAGAATTCCATGAGCGCTGACATAAGAAGTTTAAAAAATCAGACTATCATTGCAAAGGGTGAATGAGAAAAAACTAGCAGGTACTTAGTTCAAAAGTTAACATAAACACCGTGTATGACCCCCTACCACGAATTTTTATTGACAGCTTCTTCCATTCGCATAACTTGAAATGAACATGTGGGTTCAGCACCCAAACATACGCTGATACTCTTAGATTCCATCCAGAGAAGAGCTATATCCGCCTGGTGATGGGTGATTCCAAACTCACCAATACTTTGAAAAGTCGGCGACCTTCCACTTTTCCATAGATACTTCCACGAGAAATGTTGATCAGAAATCTCTGCTATCATTCAGCACATCCTTCCGTTGTCAACCTTGAAATATGTCGAACAACATTTTACCAGAACTCGTTCGTCTATAGAACAGCAAAGATTTGAAATGGAAGTATTCCCATCAAGAATTTATAACCCCCAAAAATTCCAACACCTATCTCTACTCCCTATCCTCAATAGTTCCGCATGGTGTTCTTCCAACATTATAGGAATTTCTAGTCCTGCGATCCAAGATATGAGAAAAAATATACCTCGCTATTGCATTGATTCGAATACGCCTATCGATTTGTTCTTATTCTAATTAGTATTCAAACGGAGAGTGCGATTTCATTTAATTTCATTCCCAATTAAGACTCCGACCACCCGTAGATTAACAATATTGATACAAACCACAAAACCACAATTAAAACAATGCATTGAATGACATATGAATATCCCCTTGAATATCTATTCAATGTGAAGAGCATGCATACAAATAAAACAATATTTCAAAACCTACTTCAAAAATTTAAATTTTCACATTGTTTTTGACGACTGATGGTCAATTATATTATGACCAAATTAAGACGCACCTACTCATTTAATTGCTATACGTCACTATTCAACCTACGAGACATCATTTGAGAATTATTATTGTGTTAGAAAACTAACTATTTATTGAATACTGTCTGTAGGTTAATCGAGGAGGTGGTACATTCATTATTCCAGATTTTTTGGGATTTTCTCTCCTCGTTTCTATAAAATAAAAATATGGATATTATTTCAATATACGTGTAGTGAGGACAAATCAGATGATTTGCCTCAAAATGTCACTGCGTTTAAATAATTCTCCTATCAGAGAGCTCGCAGAGAGCCTAAAAGAAAAATTCAGTAGCTTGTCAGTGACAGTTTGTATTGAAGTAGTGTATGGAAAAGAGAAATAAAGAAATATCAAATTTTCACTTAGCTTTGGACGTTTCAGGAACGAATCTGCTCCCGTTTTCAACATAAAAAATGGATATTTGAATATCAAATTCGTATGTCTCTCTATACACTTTTCAGTTCTCAGTGACAATTGGTGACGTTGGCAATTAAATGAGTTACAGGATGTTTTCATTGATTAATCTTGAATTTACCATTTTCATTTTCAGATTTCAGTAGTGAATACCATGTTCTATCTATATCAACTGAACAGGAAGCAATGCTATTGTCGCCGTTCGGAAGAATGCAAGCAGATTCTTTGATTTTTCTCTTGTGGTTGTTATCTTCTTTTCCAATGATTTCAATATCATTCCATTCTGCCATTTGTCTCATTGTATTTTCAGTTTTGAACACAGTTTTCACTTGAAATTCATCACCAACACGTTTTATTTTTTCAGATATGCCGACATATCATCAGTGAGGACGAAGAAACATAAGTACAAAATTAAGAAAAGACACATCAACAAATCGAAACTAGCTGAACATATCCTTATTGAAGATGGACAACATATGGCAGAATGGAATAATATTGAAATCATTGGAAAAGAAGATAACCAGAAGAGAGAAATCAAGAAATCTGCTTGCATTCTTCTGAACGGAGACAATAGCATTGCTTCCTGTTCAGTTGATATAGATAGAACATATTATTCACTACTGAAATTTGGAAATGAAAATGGTAAATTCAAGATTAATTAATGAAAACATCCTGTAACTCTTTTGATTGCCAACGTCACCAATTGTCACTGAGAACTGAAAAGTGTCAAGAGACATACAAATTTGCTATTCAAATATGAAACGTCCAAAGCTATAAGTGAAAATTTGATATATCCTCTATATACCTTCATTTCAATTGTTATTGAAATTGTCACTGACAAGCTAGTGAACTTTTCTTTTAGGCTCTCTGATAGGAAAATTCTTTAAACCCAGTGACATTTTGGGGCAAATCATCTGATTTGTCCTTACTACACGTAAATAAATAATATCATTTTATAGAAACGAGGAGAGAAAATCCCAAAAATCTGGAATAATGAACTATTTATTGGCTAATACTACTACCCATGAACCAATTTTTTACTAGGAGTATTTTTTCTTTGTAGATCATCTGTATCAATCCTTCAGTTGAATTCTTCATTGTAGAGTGGGTAGCTCGAATTTCGCAATCCTCAGTGGGTGTGTGAATAGGATATGAAGAGAATTTTGAATACGTTACGTTAAAGCTACATGACCAAAATATTTAAGCATTCCATTTATTCGAATTGCACAACCCATACCTTTGAGAACTTCGACATACAAACAGTTACTTTCACAGTATGAGACCTCATTACTATTTCGGTATTGAGAATATCTCGGATAGAATACATCGAATTATCATCTCAAATGCAGGAATATTTTCATGTCATATCTTATACAGGGTGGCATTGAAATAAGTGCAAATATATCAAACACTGAGAACGCTCGACGTGTACTATCGAATGGCACTAATAAAAAAAAATTAGGGATCAAAATAAATTTTGAGGTTACACCCTTTTTTCCACCCAAAGTTCTACACTGTAGCAAATCTGACGTCAGCTCTGTTCATATTTCCAGGCGGTAGGCACAATCACGCGGAGTTCAATCATTTAAATTGTTTCAAAAGGGCGTACTTGATTTTTTCTCGTATCACAAAAATGCCTGTCATTAAATGTTGAAAATCAAGTTAGCATTGTATGAATGACTCCATAGTTGTTGATAAAAGATCAAATTGTGGAAGATGCAATGTCAAATTTACCTTCAAAATATTATCCTTATTACAGTAGGATTCGGAAAGTATTTATTTGTTAGATATTTTTTGTCCCAAAAAAGTTTGTAGACGCACTGTCTATTTTCCTCCATTCTACGTGATGGTTAGTCAACAACGTTTCAACCGTGTCAAATTGATTGTTGAATATTCTCGATGAACTGGGGTAAATCTAACAGATAGTGCGTCAACAATCTTAACGCCCGGAGGGTAACATTCACCAGAGGGCCTTTATTTCTGAGACATGCATTCAATATCAGAAAACAAAGGTATGCATATTGATTTATTATCGTTTGAACAAAATGTGACTCTTGTTGGGCAATTAATAAAACGTCTAGATTCAACTTCCAAGTTGGTGTCTGTTTTCACTTGAACATGCTGAACTTATATCGCGCTGATGTTATGTGAGTAGGCATATATATACCTATCTCTTTATCTTTAGCTATGATCACTGAGCTATAACAGACTGCATGTCTCTACAGACAACTATCTGGTGCAAGAGTTTCGGTTCGTTTCAGTTGAAACAAATTCCTTGCAATCGTGTTACATTGAAAAGAGGGAACACCTGTCTTTCGGGTGCATAAAGCGGTTTCATTCAGTTCAGCTGCCAGGCCAAGTTCAAGAAGTATAAATGGAAGATATAAACGAATAAATTAAGGTGTATTTATACCAATAATTGTCATTGAATTCATTTCAGGATAAAAATTGGGTCGTTTCAGTCGTCATCACAGAAGATAACTACATATTTTAACCAGGATGAGGACACAACTCAGCCAAAAGGATGTATGAGTAGATTGTCTAAATAATTATGCCTTGAGAATGAGACGAACGCAGATAGTCTTTAGAATTGTGACATATTGCCTCTCTGCAGCGCAGACATAGAGGTCTGCGATTAGGGTTTGGAATACCGAAATACCGATATCGGAAATCCCGGAGTCCTAGTGATATTTTTGTACCAAGAATCCCGGGTTCACATCCGATTAGATCCCTGGATCTTCGGGTTAGTTTTGAACAATAAGACTTTGCTCTCGTCAAGTGAAAAAGACTATTATTATTCGAAGTTCCTGAAAAAATGTTATTATGAAGATACCCGGAGTCATATAAAACATTCCTCAAAAGTTTCACAGGCAATAATTGATGAACAAGATTATGAGGAAGATAGAATTCCTTTTGCGAGTCAAACGGTCAAGCGTCACCGAGTGCTCACTAAGTCAAACTCTACAAAATAAGATATCTTCAAATTAAACAAAGGAAATTATCCTTTTCGAGAATGGTGACATCAGAGGTACATATCTTCAGCTGGCATATCACGATCTTCTAAGAACTATATCACCAACTAGTGTAGAATATGAAAGAGGATTTTCCGCATAGCTGGTACCATTTGCACAAAAATCGGCGCACTCGACTCGCAGATAATACCCTTTACGAGTGGATTTTTGTACGCTCCTGGTTCAGTCAACACCTCGGTCAACACTTTTTGCCCTAGGCAACTCACTGACATGAGCTGGATTGAAGGTTTACTCCTAGGAGTCAGCTCCCTCATGACTCCCATCAGGGTTGTTAGACAAAAATCATCGGCAAGGCCTGCATCGGCTGCCTCTGAGGGCTCCCTTGGAGGGTAATTCTGTGGCGTATCTAAGTGTTTTACATTGTATGTTTTACATTTTCATCATGTGCAATGTCTCCTTTAGAAGTTTTTTGTTTATACACCTTGTATTGTAAAAATGTTTTTATTGAATAAATGGAATTGAAACGGTCAACACTTAAAGCACCGAACATAAACAGAGTGCTGTAAGTAAGAAATGTTCGGCCTATTTTTTCTCTCTACTTTTAAATGTATAGATTACATTTTTTTGTTCATATACGAGTATTTATGTAATCATTACGTATATATACCCCATACTGTTTTCAAATTCTAATCCCACTACCGAAATCCCGGGATCCCGGATTCGTATCAATTTGATCCCGGAATCCCGGGATTGTATTATTACTCCGAGATTGCAAACCCTATAATGCGATCGACTTATACGTCCATCATTCGAACTATACTTGGTAGCATGTAATTGAGTTCTCTTCATGAATCGACTATCACCTAGCTTATCTTGTGCATCAGTTGAGGATTTACGATTTTCCTCTCTAGAGTCTCTCAGACCTGAGGTTCATCTCCTATTGTGATGCCTGACGAGTATATAAGAAATACCTCTTTGTCATCAATCATAACCTACTTTGCGGGATGCCAAAATAACAAAAATAATAAGATTGTGGACTAATTCCTCATGAGTCTGAGATGACTCAGAGTGCGATTTGATACGTTTTGGAACCAACCTCACAGAACAATGTTGAAATGTTTCTTCATCTGCATTAGTTCATTAGTAAAATATCCTGTATATCAACCATGAATAAAAAGTTCGTGCAGATGTGCTAATTCGCCTTTTTTGTTCACATAAATGTATACATTACCCATATCGAGCAATCACAACTTTCTAAAATACCAAATACGGGTACGAATCTTTGTTGAATTGAATGTAGCAATATATTACGTCTCATGTCCCCCAATTATACATATATCTAACTATAATATATAGGGTGTTTGATTGAATCCTGCTACCAAGCGGCACTATAGTAGCGGAATCTGAACAAATCAACAAATCGTATTATTATATTGAGTTTAAAATAAACTGATCAACAAAATGAACGTGATAGTCAAAAATATATAGTCTATAAGAGCCGGCTGCATAATATTTTTTCACAAATTATCACAAAGCTTGATGTCTCTCCTCGAATCGATTTCGATTTTTTTTTCATCTAAAGCTTTTATGTAGGAGATATGTTTTTACTTCGGAATGATAATTTTTCCAACGCATAATTGGATAATATTGAATCTTGAGGATGTTATTCGAAAAATTCCCATTGATGCAAATAATAGTTTTTGATAATGTGAGGCAGTTCGGATACATAAACTCAAAATTAGGTATAAACAGGATGATATAGAAATGATTGAGATTTAATGGCGAAACCCGTAGCACTTCAGATGAAACATTGTTTTCCCAATTCCACACTGGAAAATACATTTGTTAAATTTCATTAAGGGTCCACTCAATAATGTCTTGATTTCGATCCACGCCCGATTGTGCTGAAAATTCACTCCACTTTAGTGTGTACAATAATGATTCATGAGCCAATTCAATCAAATTCCTCATGAACATTTCCATTTTTGTGACGAATTGTTAAAATATCTGATTTCATTTGAATATCCATGCATTCAAGAATTTCAATCAGTAGATTGAAACTCACAACCACATATGCAGTCACTTGAAGGAATATTCTACAGAGCATAGACAAAATCATGGAGTTTTATACCATAGACATAAAGTATGATGGCTGGTCTCGAAAAAGTATTGAAACTCCACAAATCTAAATCCATATTATAAATGACCATTTCGGTGATTACAATTTTGAAGTGAATTATTTCAAAAAAGTCTGAATTCATTCAAAAAGCCGGACTTATTCGACTTCTTCATAGTTTAATCCTAAGAACCAGTTATGTTTTTCTAAAGAAATTTTATATCCATATCGAATCGACTCGCGGCGTCTCGATTTTGTATGCGTAGACGACTAAAACGTCAATGTCATTCGTGGTCAGGTCACTGAATAGCGAAAAATCTGAAGGGTATCTCCCATGCAGTAAATAATTTGCGCCTTAGAAGTGCCCACCTAATGTATAGTGGGATATTTGTTTGTTTTTTATTCCACCATCTGAATAATTCGAGACTCAAAAGCCATAAAAGACGTAGTCTTATAATTAATATCCAAGATAACGGCATATAGAGTTTCATATCTGATTGTTGGATATTTTGTGGCCAAAAGTTTGCGCATTGCGACAGCATCGACGTCAAATCCAAAATGTGTTAGAATCGCTAACGATAAAATTGAATTAAATATAAGTTTTTTCTATGAACAGACCATAACTGAGACTACTGGATCTTTAGCATTCTACTGTGGTCATGGCATCTCTTACCTGCATCGAAGTTCTCCTTCAACCGCCTCCACTGCCTGGCCTGGTGCAGCGAATACAGGGTGATCACGAGAAAAAACAGTATGCACGTGAAAACAGCGGCAGATAGCGCTACGGCTTGCCAGTCCCACACCAACGTTTCGGCGCTGGAGAAGGCCTCCTCAGGGCCGGCGTAGGCCGCCTCAGGGGCAGTAGTGCCCAGGGGAACTGTGCCTGAAGGGGGAGAATCGGTCGAAACATGCTCCTTGGAGACGTCGTCGCCGAAGCGCCAGACTATGCTGTCGTCTGATTTGGGTAGGGGTGGGGGTGCTTTATGTTGGTGGTGGTGATGCTGATTGTGCTTGTGTCTGGAAAAACAAGAATTAGGTATTCAAGTATACACGGTGTTCAAACATCCTCAAACTTCCTCAAAGTCCAACTGCCTGAAACTTTCTCGAACTTATCAAACTTCCTCGAATTTCTCAAAATCTCTTGAACTCTCCTGAACTTCCTCGTTAAGTTCCCCGAACTTTCTTAAACTTCCTGAAACTTCCTCAATGTCAAGATTTTTAGTGGGAATTTTCTCAGCAGTTTTGATTCGAAATATTTGTCGGAAAACTTCATAAACGAAAGTTAGAAGAAATGATGGACTTCTACCAGAGATTATAAGTTAGTTTCAAAAACAAAATTGCTGAAGGAATTGTTTGTTGGAGTAATTATTGCAGTGGCGTTCCGAAGGATCAACTGATTCATCTCTTATTTATGGAAGAATTTATTCCAAAACAATCCTTTTTTTCGTCATTAGAAATTTGTATTCGACCAAGGGGACTTGGTTACTGGATAGACACAACAAATTCAATTTTGAGATTTTGAAAATATTGCAATTACCTACCACCTCGTCTACCACTCTATAACATATCCTGCCATCATGGCAAGCTCATACAGGGTGATGATTGGAGAAAGGAATTATTATTTCTGGATCTAAAAACGGAGGTCTTAAACATACAAGTTCATACACTGCTTTCGTAAAGTACTCAATAAATTCATTTTTAGCCGAACTATCCATTCATAAGAAATCTGCTGAAACTTGTCCATGACAACTTTTTCAAATGGTACACCCTATATTATCCACTTTTCGAAATTTACATGAAAAGCCGAATTCTGAAATATATCACACAGAGGGTTTCTATACAGAGGGTCCGTTAAATTGAGTGCTTGAATAAATTCATTTTTAGTCAAACTATCCATTCATCAGGAGTATGCTGAAACAAGTCGATTTATATTTCCAATTTTCCACATGAAGAAAACTTGAATATACAGGGTGATCCACGTATGAGTTATGACGTCCGCAATAACTTTTTCAAATAGAACACCCTACATATTATTCTCTTTTTGGAGTCTCCATGAAAACGTGAATTCATAAATACACCATACAAAGGGTTTTTCAAACACTGCGAGTGCCTCAAATTGAGTGCTTTCGTAAAGTACTGAGTAAAATAAATTTATTTTTAGCCAAATTATCCATTTCTGAAAACTCCTTTCGGAACAGGTCGGATTCACCATCCAATTTTCTACATTCATAATAAGGTGATCTACATCTGAGTTATGCTGTCCGCGAAATTTTTTTTTCAGATGGAACACCCTATTTATTATCGAATTTTTTGAATTTTCGTTGAAGGCTGAATACGAAAATATATCACACATAGGGTTGTATATACAGTTCGCCCGTTATATTCAGTGTTATCGTGAAATTGGGTTACTATTAAGAAAATACCGATGACCTAATTCCTCCTACGCAAATTATTCTGTATGTATCAATGGAATTCGGAAGAGTGCCTTAATAAATATAAAATTCGACGGCCTGCGCTCTGTTTCCAAAAATTGTTTCTTCATTTTATTACGAATCTATCAGAATTTATCCACAACTTCACGAAAGCACTCAATTTAACGCACTGCGTATACACACCATGTATGTGATATAGTTTCGAATTCTGCTACCCATGGAGATTTTGGAAATGGAACAATATAGGGTCTTACATCACCCTTTGTATTTGATAAAAATGAATTCATACTACTACTTTAAAAGAGCAGTTAATCTAACGGACACGCTGTATACAAACCCTATATGTTATACATAAAAATACTTTATGGAAGCACTGTGTTAACTTGTATGTTTTAGACCATCACCCTGTATGCCCTTTCATGATGGCAAGATATGTTATCGAGTGGTCGATCATTGCGATATTCTCAAAATTTCAAAATTGAATTTGTTGTGGCTTCAAATTACAAAAATTGATTGATTGTTCTGGACTACATTTTTCTATAAAAGGGAGATGTACGCTATATAGAGGAAATTTTCATTGATTTCTCTTTGCCATGGAACCATACATATTCTTCATTAAATCTGTACGGTACACCGTCCCTTCATTTGCACAATCAGTTAAAGTACATAAATAGATGAGAGAACTAATTTTTGACGTTATTGATCTCAAAAATCAATCACTTCATCAAATAGGAAATGATGATACAACTAGAGTGAATTTAAAAGAGGTGCACATGTGCATTCTGATAACTCGTTGACGAAAATCATGGACGTATAAACAAAGAACAAAAATCTTCACGAATACATCACCATGACCTGATCGATTTCAATTATAATGGTACATTTCGAGCCCCATATTGTTTGGTACTCTTGTCTGATGATGGCCGAAGTGCCGAAACTACTAACATGTAATTGAATTGTTTTTATATGAAGTTTGGTCGACCTACTTTGTTCTGCTTATTTTTATTTTGAAAGTCCGAGGAAGTTTGAAGGTGTTCGAAGAAACTCGTAGAAATCATCGATCAAAGTGGTCCAATGTATTTTCATTGAGTTTGAGGAAGTTTGGAAAGTTTTTCCTCATAGGAAGTTTGGTGTACAAGATCGCAGTTGATTTTTGCCTATTGATCTTCTGAAATACCTGATTGTTTTTTTTTGTTTACCTGTGGGGATTTCCCGTATCCGTCGTCTCTAGAAGCTCCTCTATGGTGGCACATAGAGTGTCTCTGTGGAACTCGCAGGGCCGCAACACCACCATGCCGTTTCTGCACTCGGTGCAGTTGAGGCACGTCTGCAGTCTGGCGTTGAGGAACTGCTTCTCTGGGCAGAAAGACGCCGAGACCAGGGAGGAGAACCAGGAGTGGAGTAGGGAGGTCATCAGGGCCAAAACAACCACCTGAAAGACAGAAATGCAGGGTGATTCATTGGTATCGCCATGAATTCCGCAATAAGATTATTCATAATATGCAAATCAACGAAAATGGCTATGAAATCGCTAGAAGTAGCGTTGAATGACAAAATATCTATAGGACAATAACTCTGTCGCCTCAACATATGGGGGTAGTATGCGTCAAATCCAGTAGTTTTGATTTTTTGCAGACTTCTTCATGGTGTTGACCTAATGAATGATCCAAGTTTGTGACCTCGAGCACCGAACGCTACTTTACCAAAAATCGAAAAAACCGCGAAAAAATCATAATTTTTTCAAATTTTGGCGATTATAATCCTGAAGGACTAGTTTTTGGAAAAATATCTCTCAGGACGTTTTTGAAGCAGATCAAATTTGCTACAATATGATACAAGAACTGTCTCTGTAGACCCAATAGTTTTCGAGATTAGGCCTTTTAAAGTTTATAATTTTTTTCGAACTTCGCAATTTTTTGCAATGTTTTAGGCGTCACTCGAATATTGTCTAGCGGGATGAAGTTTCAATTTCCTTCGACGGAGTGTGCTAGTACTGTTTTTGTGAAGTCACGAATGCGACCCACCTGTAGCACGTTTTCAAACTTTTGAAGCAATCTAAACCACGGGACTTTTTAGCAGGCTGCTATCCACATTCCTCTTCTTATTCTTGATAGATATTTTATCTGTGGATAATGCATAGAGTTTTTCACAGAATCACAGTAGGAATGTGAAAAAACTAAGCAAATTTTCGCGATCTGCACGGCTTCCACCTCGGCTTCCACTATCCACCACAATACACGTTACCCGCATTTTTCCTTTAAAATCATATTGAGTTATCATTATTCACAATAAATCTAATCAAAACTGAATGAAATAATACTCTAAAAGGTTCCCAAAATCCACCAAGTCCTCAAGTAAACAAACGAGTCACTTGTTTGTTTGCCTACCAGACATAAGATTACTCTATTTCCTAACAAATAAACTCATTAACTTTTGTTGTACTCATCTTTTTCATTTCATTATTCGCAGCTCAGCTTAAACATCCTCGTTCACACTCCTCATTTTCTTTCTCATCATTCCATCATGAAAGTACAGGACTTCGATTGTATTATCAGGGTCGAAATTCAATCAGAACGACAGGATTGCAAACAGTTGCAAAGTTCGACAAAACTTATAAACTTTGAAAAGCTCAATCCCGGAAACTAATGGGTCTACAGAGACAGTTTTTATATAATATTGTAGCAAATTTGGTCTTCTTCAAAAAAGTTCTGTAAGATTTGTTTCCAAAAACTAGTCCTTTAGGGTTAAAATCGCCAAAAACTGAAAAAAAAACGATTTTTTCGCAGTTTTTTCGATTTTTGACAAAGTTGCGTTCGGCGCTCAAGGTCACAAACTTGGATTATTCGTTAGGTCAACATCATGAACAAGTCTGCAAAAAATCAGAACTACCGAATTTAACGCATACTGTGATGTATAAAGGTACTGGATTACTACTAAAAATATCGAAAAACCGCTGCATACATTCACTTTCTTGACCCACAACTAGAAAGTTGTAACCAAAAAATAGTTTTGGTAATCATTTTTGTTGTCTCTCTGTGAAACTCGCAGGACCGTTAGAACACCATCCCGTTTCTGCACTCGGTGCAGTTGAGACACGTCTGCAGTCTGGCATTAAGGAAATGCTTCTCTGGGCAGAAAGTCGCCGAGACTGAAGAGGAGAATTAAAAGTGGAGGAGGGAGGTCATCAGGGCTAAGACAACTACATGAAAAGAAGTCGTGCAGGGTGATTCATTGATATCGCGTTGAATTCCGTCATAAAGTTTGAGGCTATGGAATCGTAAGAAATAGGGTTGGATGACAAAATATTGAAAAATCGTTGCATACTTTCACTTCATTGACAACAAGTACAAAGTTCATGTTCGCAAAAAATGCACCAAAAAATAGTTTTGATTATCATTTTTGTTGTGTCGTGGAATTGAAGCACCACCATCCCGTTTCTGTACTCAGTGCAGTTGAGGCACGTTTGAAGTTTGGCGTTGAGAAACTGCTTCTCTGGGCAGAAAGACGCCGAGACCATAGAGGAGAACCCGGAGTGGAGGAAGGAGGTCATCAGAAAAGAAAATATGCCTGGTAATTCATTGGTATCACATTGAATTACTCTATAAAGTTTGTAATACGGCAAATCAACAAAAATGGCTATGGAATCGCAAGAAGTAGGGTTGAATGACAAAATTTCTACAGAAAATATAAAAAAGCGCTACAAACTTCATAGATGAAAACCCAAAGTCATCTCCACAACTTTTATTGCAATGATCAAAGATCAATCGTAACGGAACATGTATATCGGGCTCATAATAAGCCCATCATCAGCCAATAGAAAGTATCAAAAGTATCATAGTTCTAGAAAAATCGGTATTGACTCAGGATATTGATGCAAAAATTACCTAAGACTTCCATGGAAATGAGAAAAGTAGACATAAAAATAGTATAGTTAAAAACAGTGGGTCTAGGAACAAAGTGAACAACTTACTGTCTCTGTAAAATATATAAATTCATTATGTTATAAACTTATTTGAAACGGTTGAGGGTCGGGTTATAGTCTCGATGGTAACGGTCGGGTTCATCCCAGTTCATCCCTGGGATGTTTTGGGATGTTTTGAAAATGTTGGCATGAAGATGTTATTTTGAGACATAATATGCACTGACCAAAGAGGTCTTTGAAGGATATTGAAGTATTGTTTTTGTTCTTCTGTGGCATTTCTTTGTTTGCCTACTGAGAGGTATCCCTGGGATGTTTTGTGATGTTTTAGAAATGTATAGGCATGAGGATGTTTTTTTGAGGCGTAATATGCACTTCCTAAAGAGGTCTTAGAAGGATATTGAAAGTATTGTTTTTGTTCTTTTGTGCCCTCTCTTTGTTTGCCCCACCACAACGTGTCATGCTTACGTCACAATACGATGAATTCTGATTTGTTTTCGATTTTGTTCTTCTTGTTCGCAATTGGCATTCGCGTTTGCAGCGTGTCACGCTTACATCACGCTGCTAACGAACAGAAAGGAATTTGGTGAAGTTTATTGTGTTAGAAGACTTATTTAGTTTGTAATAATGACCATCAGATGCAAGATGTGTTGTTCGGTGCCCCAGTGTAATCAATATATAAAAGTACGAATTTAGCTTCTCCGCATATGCGAAATTATGCATTGTGGAGAACATTTCAAAAATTGGGAAACCTATTTCCAATTATATGCCTGTGTGTAGTAAGCACTACCCAGAAACCGATTAAGAAGGTAATTTCATATCAAGAAAATATTTTTATGTTCAATCTATTTTTAATGCATTTTTTTCATTCAAGGGAAATGGAATCCTAATGCAAAAGTTCATTTTGACATAAGGCTTCAGAAAAGTACCTCGAAAATGTTTTTTTACAGCGATTTAATGTGCGCAAGACGCGTTGAAAATGTTTTGTTGTGTCCATGAAAAGGCTTTAAAAAGAACTAGGGAGAAGGTAGTTTTGTGACATATCAAGGACATCTCGATAATTGCCGCCTGCGGCGGACATTGGCTGTTCTATAATAGTTCTATTCATGTGTGAACAGAACATCGCAGTAGAGGTTCAATGTCTCGAAATCTCGTACTTTTAACATCTCTGAGATGTTTTTGTGCTCGCTGGGATATTTCACAAGGGATTACCGAAAGGTGATAATTAAAACGAAGAATCGAACTAAAAAGTTTGATGAGGCATCAAAATTAACCTGATAAAGTGAAACGATCACATGTGCGTGAAAATGAATGAAGATTATAAAAATTGACATGACAGACGTAAGAAAATTTCAAATTTCGAGTCTAGCAGATCATGGAACAAATCAGAGATAGTATAAGTATAGTATAGCTGCGTCGATCGGAATCAGCTAACTATCACATGCATGTCACTAATTCGTAACTCATAAAGTACTGAATAAATTAATTTTCCCACCACTTAAGCTATAGAACCTACCATTATTTACTCCTTTTGAAGGCGTAAAGTGTGTTTTTACTACAAAGGTATAGTTTTCGTCATTTTATGAACCACTAGTCATAGCTACGTCTGTTATGATTATTCCGAATTCAATGTTCTGATGCGATATTCACAGGAATGGCACTCGAATCTAGTCATATGCTGTCATGGTGACTAGATTTCAATTAGAATTGAACAGAAGTGCTTTCAAAGTGACATAGACATTTTCAAAAATATGAATCCACCATTCTGAGGATCATTCGAAATATATTCTTGTTATATCGAGAAACGTAGTTTATTGCATCATTGTTATTTCTGTTGTAAAATTAAGTATAACGTATAGCACGGAATACTAATTTCTCACTCGTATGATCCGCAATATACTAATTTTATACTCTCAATATTTTCTATTCGCTCACTATATCCTTATTATTTCATTAACTTCCGTTCGAACTCTAGAATTTCAGCATTTCAGGCTATATTCGAATCTACTTTCATCTTCCCGGATCTTCTGATCTACAGCTTTTCCAATAAATCCATTTGAGTAAAACGCGATGAGATAAATGAACTTTCAACGCTATAGTGATTGGGGTTCGTGTGTTCTCTGTGTTTTCTTGCCATTTCCCTAGAGTTCGATAATTCTCTTGTCAGATAAAATATTATAACATCATTCAACTCATATGTCAGATACAAAACGCTAGGATCGTAAATTATACCACGTGTCAATAATAATAATATACATTATTGCGAGTAGTAAGTATAGTCTACCCAAGTCACGACTAATAATACTTGATTCGGTCGATTTCTTTCATTCCTCACATTTTTGAGAAAAAAAATCATATACTGGGTGATCCACGTTTGAGTTATTGCGTCCGCGATCATTTTTTCAAACACCCTATATAGTTTTTGGGTGTATGATAAATTGACATTCATCATACAGGGCGTGGAAAGGAATTCTGAATTGAGACTCTTTCACGAATCTGCGATTAGAAGTCTATAAAAATCACAAGTTTCCATCGTTCAAGCACGTTCAACTTTGAACCCCCTGAATGGGTATGAAAGTGTTGACAAGGAATATTCTCAGATAAATTATGAACATACAAAAATGGATATATATTTATATAAAGCAATACATTGAGAATTCGCATTCTCTATGGTAAGTCATATTTCTATATCATTATTCATCATATTATTCATCCGATTTGAAGAAGAATGCCAATTCTCAATTTCGGAGGATTTTATTATTTATTTTCCATGTTCTCCTTTTGAATGTTCATCAGATATAATTCAATGTTCGAAGTGGCAAATAGCCAGGAAAGTAGTTGTTTTCTGTTGAATATTCAGAATGATGTGTGCATATACATATTTTTGCCTGAAGGAGAATGCAAATTTTCAATTTCAGAAGTTTTTATATTTTATTTTCAAACTCTTATCGTGTGTGTTCAATAGATATAATCCAATGTTCGTCGTGGCATATAGCCAGGAAAGTAGTTGTTTTTTATTGAATCAAATGAAAAAGAGTAAATTTTCTCATCACATAGAGAATGCGAATTCTCAATGTATTGCTTTATATAAATACAGGGTGAGTCATGACTAACCAGCCATAGCCTAATGGCGGATAGCGGAGGTCAAGGTGAGTTGATATATATGTGAAAAAATATATTTTGCCTATTCTTTACAGAAATACAGGGCATTATTTGAATTCGGGGCAAAACTTCAATGAACGATATTTCAGGAACGTATCGATGTTATCGGCTGAAATTCACTAGCAACTTACCTCTACTGACACTACACAAGATGACGTTCTATGAATAAAAAATTCCAGATCCGGACTTGGAAAACTCATTTTCTCTTTAGATGTCAGAATTTTGACCTTCTGGATCGGATTTTTCGGAAACTTTCATCAGAATCAGAAAGATCAGGAAAAATACTACAAGTATGGCTTCTCAATTCGTACGGCACACTTCGATCGTTTTGGTAAAAAAATATCGAACAAAATACCGATGAATTTTTCTTCGATTCCGTCCGGACATATTATCACTCTCTAAATTCGACTAAAAGTAATTAAACCGAATTGTTTCCTGGAATGATTCAACAGCAGACTTGAGAAAAGGTTTAATTCAATAAAAAATCCAGGACCGGACTCGATTTTGGATAATAATAATTATAATTTCCGAAAAAGATTTGTCTGGATCTTAATATTAATGAAGATTCTCGAAATGTCCTCCTCCAATTTCTATACATTTTCTGAATCTTTTCGGGAGATCTCTAATGGCTTCTCCAATAATAAGCCTATTATTTCTGATTATATCTGCAGATGTAACTATCCTCTCTCAATTTTCAATTGAAATCTAACTTCTACTTGTGATAATGTGAAAACATTGTATTCAATAAGAACAATTGTTGCTTTGGTAGCAGATTTTTTTTCGAATCAGATATACGTGCCAACTTATACTACATGGAGGGATTTTGATTTGAAGTAAGTAATACTGAATATGATTTCATTTCTTGTGAACTCTCCCAATTAGCAAATCAAATTGTGAGTTTAGTAGTTCATCGATTCTGAATGCACATGAAAAGAAGGCTGTGATATAGTAGTGTATGTCATTGACTCGATTTTTGACGGTTGTTGAAACTGTCAAATGACATCTAGTTCATTGTTGATAATTTCAAATACATACTGTTACTAATTTTATAATTTCATATTTCATTTCATATCTTCAAAATGCCACTGCATTTCAATAACGTTGAATATGCAGATATTATTTTTGTATACGGTTTTTGTGATGGCAATTCAAGAGCAGCATTGAGAGAATACCGAAGAAGGTCCCCTGATCTCACAGTTTTGAACTATTTTCTTTGGGGGCATATGAAACAATTGGTCTATCAGACTGAAGTCAACACCAGAGACGAACTGAGGGAGAGGATAGTTACAGCTGCAGATATAATAATAGGCAAATTATTGAAAAAGCCATAAGAGGTCTCCCGAAGAGATGCAGAAAATGTTTAAAAATTGGAGGAGGACATTTTGAGAATCTTGATTAATATTAAGATTCTGACAAATCTTTTTCGGAAATTATGATTGTTAGTTTCCGAAATCAAGTCCGGTCCTGAATTTTTTATTGAATTATACCTTTTCTCAAGTGTGCTGTTGAATCTTTCCAGGGAAAAATTTGATTTAATTACTTTAAGTCGAATGTAGAGAGTGATATGCCCGGACGAAACCGAAGGAAAATTCATCGGTATTTTGTTTGATATTATTTTACCAAAACGATCGAAGTGTGCCGTACGAATTGAAAAGCCATACTTGTAGTATTTTTCCTGATCTTTCTGATTCTGATAAAAGTTTTCGAAAAATCCGATCCAGGAGGTCAAAATTTTGCCATCTAAAGAGAAAATGTGTTTTCCAAGTCCGGATCTGGAATTTTTTATTCATAGTAGGTCATCTTGTGGAGTGTCATTAGAGGTAAGTTGCTAGTGAATTTCAGCCGATTACATCGAGACGTTCCTGAAATATCGTTCATTGGAGTTTTGCCCCGAATTCAAATAATGCCCTGTATTTCTGTAAAGAATGGGCAAAAAATATTTTATTATATATATATCAACTTACCTTGACCTCCTCTATCCGCCATTGGGCTATGGCTGGTTAGATATCCATTTTTGTATGTTCATAATTTATCTGAGAATATTCCTTTTCAACCCTATATAGGGTGTATCTAAATAAGACCGAAAAAATTCAAGGGGTGATTCCTTGTGATATTTTAGGAAATGAAGTTCATATAAACATGTTGTGTCCGAAATTTCTTCGTTTTCGAGATACAGGACAATATTTCCATGAAAAATCTTTCTTCAATTCATTTTTCAGTTGTCTTTTCATCAATTTCGATAAAACGTTGGGGTTTTGTTAATAGTAATATGGAGCTGCTTCTAGTGCAATTAGATTCGAAATAATATTTCCAGTGGCGTCACGGTAGGTAAATTTATCGATATCCATGGTGAATATGTACACCACCCGTTTTTCTGAGTTTCATATTTTTATTAGATTGACCTATTGAAACAACAACTTTTTTATCCTCTGTGTGATTTTTGTATCTAGCTTAGTTTTTGAGGAAACAATAAAAATTCTATTTGACTCCAAAATTTAGTAGGTGTTTCCCGAGGGGTTTCTAAGACTTCCATTGAGATTACTCAATAACCCCAATTAAAATCATTCTGAAATTTCGGGCCATTCTCAGTCTCCATCCATACTGAATTTTGACACCATGAAAGCTCATACAGGGGTGTTATAAATAAAAACAATTGATACTTCCAACTTCAACATCCTGTATGTATGTAAAAACGGAGCAAGTTAGGACACATGTGTATGTGAACTTTATTTGCTAGAATATCACAAGAAACACCCCTTGAAGTTTTTCTGGTGTTTTCTAGATACACCCTGTATTTACATATTGAAATCTCCATAGTTAGCAGCATAGCAGAATTCAAAAGTATCTCACATAATGGATTCCAATACAGAGCGTCCGTTAAATTGTGTGCTTTCGTTAAGTACTGAATGAATTCATTTCTATACAGGGTGTCCCAAAAGTGCTAGGACCTATTATTGCTACCACGTGTAATAGAGGTCAAAAAGAGTTGATTGGACCCAATATATTTATATACCAAAATGAACCCTTTGTCCGTGAAATGAGATCTAAGTTTACATAAAAAAACAGGTGCATTTCAATTCGACCTCTTTATTGATGAAGGTGGCCGTCATTTTGAACATTTATTATAAGAAACGATATGCGTTTGTTTCCACAGTCAACTGAATTTTTTATCACAATGTTTATTACCTATATTAAACTTGTACTGGGAATATATTCTTTTAGCATTATTAGATAAAACATTCTTTTTCTGCAGAAATATGGGAAGTACGCTAAACATTTATGTAAAAGGAAATTTGTCGTGTCATGTTCAGTTTTTGAATCAAAAAAAAACCAGATGATCGAGACTTTTAAAACTAGGCTGTTTTCAAGGCACATTCCGTAATTTTTAAGTAGTTTTTGATTCCAGAGTTTCAACACTCAACTTTCAACTCAATGCTTGATTGATTGATCAAGACTCAACTTTGTTATATCGGATTTTTGGTCCTCCTTGCAGGAGTAACTTCAGCACTGGGAAAGAAGTGTAATAGCCGACATGATTCCTCAGTATATAGCAAGTAACTCAATATAATAAACACCTGTAAGGGAAACCGCCGGTTTCTCGGATAGCACAGAGTGTGTCAGAGGCAGCTGCAACAAAGATAGCTTGTGTTACGGAAACCTGTCTCTTTCACACTATGGTGTTGTTTAATGGAGTACTGGTGTATAAATTTTCTTTTATCCAATGATTGTAGTACTTGAGATCTATTTTTTTTCATCTAAACAGGCAAAAAAGTGAAGACCGAACTTCATTGGTTTTTGTTATGTGAAATATCGCTACATTTGGCGTAGTTTGTTTCTCCAAAAGGATTGAATTTGTTGGTGTGAATTGATTATTGTAGAAAAGATTCGTGATTTCGAATTAATAAACGATGGTTATTTTTATTGTGTTGCCTTTGGATGCAAAACAAGCAAGTCAAACAGAAATTGTCCTCTATGGGTAAGTTGAAAATTTTGAATTGACTCGGCCGTTACTTGATGGAAATCCATGGCGAATGTAAAAACTCCACAAACGATAGGATTTCCACAAAATTCTCAAACACACGACAAACATCAAGTTTAGTTCATCGTACCAGTATACCACCTGACGAAGCAACTGTGTTAGCGAAACATGTCGTGTGTTTGAGAATTTTGTGGAAATCTTATCGTTTGTGAAGTTTTTACATAAAGTTGAAAATTGTTCAGATTCTTAGAAAAACTGTAGTAATTTATTTTCAGGATGTGTCTGTGGATGTTCATGACTTGAAATCTAAGGACAACATTTTTCCTATGGACATTGATTTGCTTTACAACTTCCAGTTACCATGTAAGTTTCAAAGTTTATTTATAATGAAACCCACAAACTGTTTCATTCGAAAAGGCCTATTCTATTGCAAAGAAAAGTGAAAACACTGAAACAAGAAGTATAAAGTAGAATGACAATCTTGATGAGGTACTAAGAAAATATTTTGAAGGTCAAGGTCAAGTTCAAATTTTTAAACTCAAGAGCTACATTATAATATTGTCTTTTCAGATTTTCCTTTGGAACTTGGTTTACACTCTGGACGACGCAGATATTCATTTTTAATGAAAAAATTCGTCCTAACATTGTACTTTTATTCACTTCTCATTCACCTCCAAATAGTGAAATGTTTATGGAAAAATAGGTATCATTCAAGAACCTCTTTCGACATTTCTTCTATCGTTTTCCTATTTCTTCTGATAGTGCTGAAACATTGAGCTTCGCTCACCCTGTAAATAACATTGTGACATTTGAATGTTAATATATAATTTCAATTCTGTATTCAGTTGTCTTCCTGATCCTGTATAAGGATACAAATTGAATTCCACTTTTGAGTCAATAAAAAAATCAATAATTATTTTCAAATAATAATTGATTGCAACATTATCCTTTTTCCTGAATGATTATTTATATTTACCCACATATACTCTTAAATAGAAGCAAAAAACGAGGAAATATTTCAAATAATGCGAGCACTTTTCATTAGCCAACATAAGATAGAGACAGATAGGTATCCGTAACCACTGCGGGTTGCATAAACAATATTTTTGCCTCACTCGTCGTTCACAGAGGATCCCTTTTCAGGTCGTTCCAAGTGTTTATATCGTGATATACAGAGTGGGCCTTTGAAAACGAAACAGAGGCTCTGTAGGTCGCCAAAACCGGATTATGAAAAGAATCTGAAACACGGCAACTACGTTTTCGAGGGGGACATCGTCCTACAATATTTTCAGCCCTGCGGCGTTGCCGCTGCTAACGAAAAGAAGCAACAACTTTGTTATCTCAAATGGAACCTTGTATTTCATTGCATTTTTAGATTCTCCCCGAAGAGCTGATTTCATCAATGCATCACACTTGGGGTCTAGCTGTAATGGTTTCAGGGATATAAAGTGTTCAAAATCGAGATTTTTCAACTTTGACATTTTTTTGTGTCGAAACTATTCATTATTGGTCGAAACGGCTCTCATGTCTCTATCTCAACTTGTGATTTACTATCTACTGACATTTAACTGGGACAGATACAGGGTGATCAGAATTCTGAATCTTGAACCACCCTGTATTTGTTTCAAATAAATGTCAGTAGATAGTAAATCACAAGTTGAGATCGGGACATGAGAGCCGTTTTGACCAATAATGAATAGTTTCGACACAAAAAAATGTTAAAGTTGAAAAATCTCGATTTTGAACACTTTATATCCCTGAAACCATTACAGCTAGACCCTAAGTGTGATGCATTGATGGAATCAGCTCTTCGGGGAGAATCTAAAAATGCAATAAAATACAAGGTGTTCCATTTGAAATAACAAAGTTGTTGCTTCTTTTGTTTAAAAGCGGCAACGCCGCAGGGCTGAATATATTTTAGAAAGATGTCCCCCTCGAAAATATAGTTGACCTGTTTCAGTTTTTTTTGATAATCCGGTTTTGGCGACCTACAGAGCCTCTGTTTCGTTTTCAAAGGCCCACTCTGTATAAATCAACGATTATATTGAGTTTATTGGTATATTGCGAAGCAAAACGATATTGGGGTTCTATTTATATTTCTATTCGAAAATAAGAAGAGTATGAACGGAATAAATCATGACACGGACTGCAAGTACATAAATCCGGGTAATGCACTACCTTGTGTGTATTCCAGACTGCCGAACAATAATAATGGCGAATGCAAAGACACCCAACAAAAATAAACATCGGGGCCAGAAATATACTGCACTAGACCACGACCAGACGCATGGTGATTCTTTTCGAATCTGGCAGAGTCTTTGAAGCGTACTAGTCATGCGGTTCGCGTTAGTTTTCTTCAACACGTTATGACCATATGGCCGCCATACACATGACATGCCATAACTGTTTCACCGCTCCAACGTATTCACTACAACGTCTTCCTTCCGTTTGTGAAGGAGTCAGCTCTGATTTATGTATGGGAGAATTGTTGCCGACAGGTTCGGTCATGGTGTTTTACATCGAAAGACCATCAAAATGGAGTCTCACGGTTTTTAATAAATGAGCTAGTGGACTGATTTATTTTCAATGTTTTATTCCGAACCATCAGAGTCGATCCATCTTGCAGTGGAGTGAAGATGAAAAGGCAGGAAGAAAATCTAATATTTAGAAAATAATTTTCATGTAGTGGCACTAGATGTGGTTGCATGTCATCTGACATCCATATGACATGGAACGCATGAATAAGAAGCTCGATAAGAAGAGAGGTTATACCAATTACCATCGATATGCTTGTATTATATGTTTATTCCAGACTCTATTGAGAAGCACAAAGTCATAATACAACGTTGAAAAAATGTATCACATTCACAGATACTTCATTTTCTAGCATACATCAACGCTTTCCTTCAAACGTCAACCAGATGTTCGCAGCAAACTCTACTTCAGGTTCGCAAGGAAAAGTGCAGCCATCAGACATTTCACCCGTTGAGAGTCGAATGCCCGAAAT